CTACGAAAACTATTGTTTTCCTGGTGTTAAGAATACGGTGTCAGGTGGGAAAATGGTTTGAATTCGTTGCTTACTGGTGTTTTCCAGTAGCAAAAGATTGCTTTGAAAGAAGTTTTTCGTCGAAGATAGAGCGTTTCCTTCCATTTTTCTAGGACAGAAAATGCGTAGAAAACGCTTGAAAACAACGGTCTTCCAACGTTCACGGGTTGGTGAACGTAAAGAAATAAAATGTTTACTGGCGTTTTTTTAGCTGTTTGCGTAGATAAAACGCGTTGTTATCGGTGATTCACCATCCGAATGCAGCTATTCCCAAGCATTTTCTCGTATTTGCCGTTCGATTATCGTGCGCAATATGGTATGTATTCCTATATTCATCGTTATTTTACATTGTTAACCATTTGGACATCTACATATATAGAAAAGTTCTTTTTGAAATTCCTCAATATAGTGTATATAAATATAGGTGTATTTCCCTTTTGTTGTATGATCATAGACGATGAGAAAAAAAAAACCATAACGAAACTCGTTAATCTATCGGCTATCCTCTTCCCAACTTAAAACGATCAGCAATTAATTAAGGAAATCCTGATAAGTATCGGTTCCTTAAAACGAAAGCATTATAAAGTATAACATAAATGGGCTTGTTCATGTTCGAATATTGACTTATATTATGGCGTTGATCATCTTTCAGTAACATATTTCTCTGCAGAGCCCGTGCTATCTGTTGCGATCACAACAAAACTTCAAGTGTGCAAGCAAGGGAGGTTTTCCAGTAATTCATTTCTTCGGCAGTTTTTACCATGCATGTTGCATGACTGGTGCTATGTCTCTTCTTTTGCTCCGATTTTCGGCCTGCCAGCAGCCAAAAGCCCCGAATTGATTCAATCGATCAATCGGAATTAGTGCGTAAAGACCGTGATATCAGGCAACATCGTCAAGTTCGCCAAACGCTTTTTATCCTTACAGGAGTTGGCAACCTAATTTCTAATATTTTTGTTGATATTGTTATCTGGAGTTGGACTCTCCTAAAATTAACGAAAACCTGTCCCAAATTCAGAATTT